GACAGGATAGTGGTAATTGGTATCATAGTATATTTGAGTCTTTAAGGCCAGAGAGCTGATTAGTAATAGGGTATTACACATTTTATAAAAATTTTCCACTTGGACATGTCTTATGAATTTACCATAAGTTTATCAGTTTTTGTTAGCTTATTAATACATAGTATATCTTATTTTCATAAACAAGTATCCAGAAACCTGATTTAAGTTATTTCTGGGTTGGCTAGCCCCCTCTATGGTATTAGACTTTATCCAAAGCACTTGGCATTGACTTACTTTTGATGCCATTGAGACATAAAGATTGGAATAAAATTATTTGGTAGCTCCTAAGGAAAGGCATGCAATTTGATTAATTACATAGGAAAAGGTAGGATCAGGCCTAGTTTTTAATTTTTAGAGTTCGGATTCTCCTTGGTTCCAAAACTGAATTGCACTGACAATGCATGATCTAGAATATGGCAAACCTTCAAGCTAATAAGTAATGGCTAGAATGTCACCTTGGAATATTAAATCTTTCATAGTAGCAAAATAATATTAAATTCATATAAGAACAGAATAATTAGTTTCCCTCAGCAAAACCTCTGATAAATATCAATTTATGGTGATATTTCAAGAAGAGGTTTCTAGTCAAACCAGCAGCAGTGTCAAGAAAACAGAAACTTTAAATCAACCAGGGCCTTATCATATCAACAAATATTTGTGGGGAACCCATCTTGTGCCGAGTACTGTGGGAGGTCCTGAGGGTATAATGATGAACACATAACTTTTGTGCTCATACTACTTACAGTTGCTGGGAGACAGTTCAGTGACAGTGAACACACACACATATGCACATATATAATTATAAATTTTGAAGATCTATAGGATAAAAGTGAAGAGTGCTGTAAGACACATATAACAAGGAGATCTAATTTAGACTGGAGGAGCAAGGGAAGTTCTTCCATGGAGTCTCATATACCCAACATGAACTATGAGAAGAAAATAATCAGGTGGAAAGTGGGGGTATAAAGATATTTCAAGGGAGAGAAATACATGTATGAAGGCCTCAGTTGGGAAAGCATGTAGGTTTTCTTCAGAACTGAATGAAAAACAATGTTATGGGGCCACAGTGAGGAAAAATGGCACACAACAAAGCCCGAGAGGTAGGCCCTGAGCGTGCAGCATTTTGTACGCCATCATGGGCAAACCATGACTCTATGACAGGAATTGCCTTAACACCAAATGTGGAGTTAGGGATAATGACGTCCTCAGCAGTGCAAACAATTTCCTTTGATTCAAGATGTCTTAAATAGGTTCAGTTTGGGGAATGATAGTTTGAAAATAGGATTGATTGTGAGTTATTTGAAGAAACAGCCTTCTGACCTGGTATCCTCTGGGTCTTCTTTAAGTGTAGGTACTGAATGTGTAGCTGTGTGTTTACTTGCAGAGCTGAGCCCAGGTAAGGTAGCAACACACGTGTTGAGCTGTACACTATTAGGCCCATGACACACACTGTCTCCTCTCATCCTTGCAACCATCCTATGAGCTGGATATTTTATCTCCATTTTATAGATGAGGACTGAGTCACAGTAAAGGTAGCAAATTTCCACTACCTTGGAAGATGTACCTTGGAACAGATGATTCAAATCTGGGTCTCCTAGGTTTATGTAGTAATTCCTCATGGCCACAATTCTAGGAGCATAGTTGTTCCAGGATCTCCTGACATGGGAATAAAAAAGGTCCTTGTAGATGCCAGTACCCTCCATTTCCTCCATTTTATTAATAAATTCAGGCACTCAAGGCTTTAAGCATTTTCTTAATAAGCATTTATTAAAGACTTAGTAAGACACCTGATATCACTGAGGAGAGGGAAAGATGAATGAGAAGAAAGAAGGAAGGGATATAAATATATATAAGACAGAATCTGCCTTCAAGGAGCCTATATTAGGAAAGCTAAGGCTTATATACACATAACCATGAAATAGTGGAGAATGTGTTGGGTCACAAGAGAAATATAAACTAAGATTAATTCCGGCTATGCCTCTGAAATACAGGTAAGATGTTGAATGGTAGAGAGGCAAGGGGAGAGCATTCCGAATAAGGCAGTCATAATTTGGAAGGACATTTCCTCTAAAGTCATTTCAGAACCTCTCTTCATAGATTAATCAAGCTGACAGAGCATGGAGCACTTTGTTCTTAAGAGGGATGCACGGTCAAACAAAACACATGCTATATGTGGCTGAAATGTATCCCTCATATCCAAAATAAAATATAATTAGACACATTTTAATACTTCCCTAGATAAGAGAGACTTCTATTTTCTCCATAAGGTTTGTTGTTTAATTTCAGCTGTACAACTACCATGGCCGGCCACAGGGGAATTAGAGAGAGAGGAAGAAGAGGAAGCTCCTGATGGTGATTTGCTATTGATCACTTTGACGTGCTATCCATGTCCCCAGGAACTCTACCTGGAAGCCTCCTAAAATTCCAGGAAATCCTGTCTGGTGTAGTGTTGGTTAAGAGGGTGGGACATATGGGGAGAAAGGCTATGGACTGAGTTGAATATGATCAATTCCTGGGCTCTCAGTGTGATTGCTTCTTTCTACCCCCTTCTCATTTATGTCAAAAAAAAAGACTATGAAGACAGATTGAAGTGAGGGGAACTTTGTAGAAAACCTTTTGTTTTGTTTTGAGGATGTAGTGCAGGAAGAGAAACAGGAAGTGGAAAGACTAGAATATGGAGGTTTTAATGTCAGATTATGGAATTTAGATGTTCTGTAGCAGATAACATAGAAAATCTTGGATCTTGAAGTTTGTTGTTGTTTTGTAGTTTTTTTGTTGTTGTTTTGTTTTGTTTTTTACATAACCAGATTCCTATTTAGAGGAAATACCTTGAAATAGGATAGTATGTTTTCCCAATTATAGAAATGTCTTATGCGTAGAAGATGTTAAGAGTTGTTGTTTGTTTCATGTTTAACCTCTTTCAAGAGTTATTATATGTTCAGTCCATGGTTTCTCTAGATATTACTGTAATGGTATTTCTAGGGGAGTCAATCCCAAAATTAATTCCAAGAGAGTCAATAAAATTGCAATCCAGTCAACATTTGACATAGCCGAACAAACACTTATGTATTCCAAATGTCCTTGCAACTGGAATTCATTTCCTTTCTCAATCTCACAAAGGAAATACTCTCTCCTGGTGTTTCCCTTGATATGTAAGGTCAAGGAATTAATTTTCCCTTTTCTTTTTAAGAGTATGTTCAACATGAGGGCTTTTGCTATGTTGCTCTCTGTCACCCAGCCATCTTCCACCTCAGCTTTCAATAATATCATGCCCATAGCCTTTTGTTTCAAAATTGATTTTTTTTCAGGAAATCAAAGGTGGAGGAGTGTCTCTATTAAATATTGATTTTTTATAAAGACCTCACTTTCTTTTGTCCTTTCCTCCTTCTTTCCAGAAGCTGAAAGGCAATATTAGTGAAAGGGTTAACAGCCTTGGAAAAGTCCATTCTAGATGTTCTCTTCCATTTAGGTTTGCTCACTTTTCTCTCCTGGATTATAATAATATGGTTTTAATACCATTTCATCTCAAATAATTCTATTTGTTGAGCAATTAACATTTCTATTTTTCAGGTCATTTTAAACCATCACATGCATATACTAAAAGTATTTTAATAAAATTATATTAACTTACAATTTTTTCTTTGAGGTGGCCTATAAAGCAATAGTCCAATCTAAAATGAAGTGCAATTTTAAGAAATAAATTTAGAAAGTATATTATTTTTATCTCATTTCAAATTTCTAAGGGCATATTTTCATTGTATAATGTCCTATAAAAATACTAATAGTAGTTAGTAGTTATCTATTATGGAATACTCACCTCTACCAGGCACTGCTTTACAGAGAATATAATAAAGACCTCTGTGAGATAAATGTGACCACTATGGACGGAATTGTGTTTCCCAAAAATTCTTATGTTGAAACCTAACCCCTAGTATGAATCTATTTTGAGACAGAGCTTTCAGGAAGTTACTAAGGGTAAATGAGGTCATAAGGGTGAGATCTTAATCCAATAAGATTGGTAGACTTTTAAGAGGAGAAGAGAGAGATCTCTGTCTCTCTCTGCTTGTGATATGCATACCCCAAGGAAAGGCCATGTGAGGACACAGCAAGAAGGTGGCTGTCTATAAGCCAGGAAGGGAGACCTCACCAAACTTCCCACCTCCAGAGCTGTGAGAAAATAAATTTCTGTTGTTTTAGCTACCCAATCTCTGGTACATTGGTACAGCAGTCCAAGCTGACTAATACAGTGACTGTCTCCATTTTGTGGACTGGGAAGCAGACAGAGTCACTGGCAAAACTGGTATTTGAACCTGAATATGTTTGACTATACAAGTCAAACTCTTTGGACTGCCCTCTGAATTTTAAGCCAGAAAATAATGAATACAGATAGCTTTTTAAAACAATACTAAGCACTTCATCTGTTTTTGTTTGTTTGCATTTTTATTTTTACTAGATTTAGCAGATAGACACAAAGTCAGTTGATTTGGCTCATTCCCATTCATCATCATCTGATTTTTGTGTTCTAGCAGGATGTTACTATTTGAGCTTTCAGAAGCCTAGGTTAATATTAAAAAGTGTAGTCAATCTTCCTATAATTGCAATGTTGAAAAATCCAAGATTTACTATTGCTGTATTTGCTTGTTGTAAAACATATTAAATACAAAATATCCAGTTTTGTGCCTGAAACTAGTTGGCAGTGTCCCATTAAATCATATTAAAATTAACTTCTATTAATTGGATTAGAAATTCAGTGAGAATGACAGCTGCTAGTGCCTTTTGCAGTTACTTTATTTCTCTATAATCCATATGGCAGAAATAACAATGCTTTTTTCCCCATTGAAATAAACATTTGAGGTAAAAAGGTTTGACTTGATGTGATCAGGGTATGTGTATTTGTTTTTCTTTCTTTAAAAATAATCTTTTTGTAAAAACTGAACTATCTTTTTTCCTCTCTTTTACAGGTTTTCACCAGCCATATTTTTATATCTGATTAGCATTGTTCCATCATTATGGCTTCTTGAAATGCACGATGAGACCCAGGTATGTCCCTTTGGAAAGTAGGAAAGTGGAATATTCATCAGTAAACTACTTTCATACCATAATCCAATTTATTTCAGAAATGCACTTTTCAAAGGAATTGGAGTTATCAAGAATTGAATAAGTAAGAGGCCATTAGCAAAAGAAAGTGAATTCATCATCTATCAAAACCAATAAAGATGTTACATATGTTTAAGATTTAAGATTACATAATTAATTAACAACTTACGTTAAAGATCTTGTTCCTAAGCCCCCCCGGCCCCCAATATGCTAACATTTACATGGGGTAGGGGAGGGTTGTGTGTAAAAATTTGGTTAACTTTGCAGATCCAATGAGTTTCTATATTGTACTAAGAATGGGCAGGGCTCGATAATCTAGCATCCTATAAAATGACATTTTTAAAAGTAGCAAAAACTAAAAAGAAACCCCATTGTCTAGACTCTGCTATGTAAAATGCAATCAAACTTGGGACGGATATTTGAAACAGTCTGTCTTAAAATACAGGCCTTACAGATTACAAAAGATTCCTTTTTGAGACCCCCATGAGCTGTTTTAGTGAAATAGGAATTCTACTCTGGAGCCAGACATGAAGGGTAAAGGAGAGGAGTATGAGACCCACCACTGGGAAAGTTGGGCTATATGTATTAGGATCACACTGACTTAAAAAATAAACAATGGCTTCCAATGAGAGTCCCTCATCTATATACAGAGAAAGAGCTACTAATTTTTTTAATTTTTATTGTTATGCTTATCACCATACATTACATCATTAGTTTTTGATGTAGTGTTCCATGATTCATTATTTGTGCATAACACCCAGTGCTCCATGCAGAACGTGCCCTCTTTAATACCCATCACCAGGCTAATCCATCCCCCCACCCCCCTCCCCTCTAGAACCCTCAGTTTGTTTTTCAGAGTCCATCGTCTCTCATGGTTCGTCTCCCTCTCTGACTTACTCCCCTTCATTCTTCCCCTCCTGCTATCTTCTTCTTTTTTTTTTCTTAACATATATTGCATTATTTGTTTCAGAAGTACAGATCTGTGATTCAACAGTCTTGCACAATTCACAGCAAGAGCTACTAATTTTTAAGTGAGTTGCTTCTTACATGGGCAACCTTAGGTATCAGGATCTGGACTAGATTCACAATCTATTGCTATTACTGTTCCTGTACAACCCTGCAGAGGGCAGACTCTAGCAGATTCCAGCCTGGACTTCACATCTTCTGGGCTCAGGTTATGGGACTATGTTACAGATAAGGGGTAGTTATGATATAATATTATTATAGTACTTTCATTGATACAATGCATTATTCAAGATAAGAATTTGCCCCTATGCAGATTTCTTTGCTGCAGTTGGTCATTTTATAGTAAAGTTAAGCCTCTGATGTATGTTTCAGATACTCAAACCTTATCTGGAAAATGCTTGCTCTAAATTTTAGGCACACACAGGGAAATTTAGACATGTGGACTATTTCTGAAGAATTCCACAAGCACATACCAGTAAAATAGGCATGAAGAAACATTTATCTGCTTTAAGTCCCCTATTTAAAAAATATTAAAGTCATAGGCTATCTTTATGACTGTAGCAAAATATTTTTGTAACACTAAATTGGCTGGTTCAAGTTATCATGGTTTTTAAAAAACTATACCATAAGGAGTTAGAGGACTGTTTCAATTTCCTTACTACTTACTACTTTCAGGGGTATGGAAATAAGCTCTGGTGATTTGAATCATTTCTTTGCTTCACATCCAATTCTATAACATGACTATCATCCACAATAACAATTCATTTCCCCAAATGCTTTTATAATATAAATGCATTGCACAATTAATTGATATACAGGTCAAATCCCATTACAACAAATAGCATGCAACCAAAAGCTCTCTTTTTAATAAAAAAAGATTTTTGAGCCCTAGGCAGTACCTCTCTAATTTTCATACTAAAGAAATTGGATCTTTGTAGTAAAGGATTTGACTCATTTTGACACTAAGAATTAAAGTGAATGCCCAAAGATTGAATTGGGCAGGGTGGGCAGAGGATGGAAGTAGAAAAAAGTAAGAGAAAGGGAGACAAAACAGTATTGGAATTGCATTTAAAGAAATGAGAAATGGCAGAATAAAGGGAGGTACAGCAATTCTCTTAGTCCATTCATTTAAAAAAATTTGGTTGTGATAATAGCCACTTTTCCTTTCAAAGTATTTCCAAATACATTTTTTCCTTTATGAATTCAGCAACTCTATAAGTTCGGCATGGTATATATATTTTTATTTTATAGAAGAGGACCCTGAGACTCAGAAAGGTTAAATAATTTTCTCAAGGCCACACAGCTAATCAACAACAGTTCTGGGGCTTAGCACCTAGGTCTTAATCTCTACTCTGTTAAACCATACTGCTCTTCTCAATTATGTGTTCTATATTTTAGAGGAGTTCTCACCAAAATCATCTGATTTTTTTTTCATGACAGGAGAGTAATTTAATCCCCTCTAACATTTTCAATTTATTCTACATCCTGAATGTTCTAACCTATGTCTTGGCATTAGGAAAACATCCTGACTACCTCATAAAGACATTCCTCCTAGGTGATCAGTTCTGTACCTTCATTTCTGCATCTGGCTAGGTCTACATGACTGGAAACAAGATGATTATGACAACAGTTATGACTGTCACTCTTAGGTCTATATATGAAGTGGCACAATTAAAGCAATGGAAACTTTCTGGTCTTGATGGTATTAGGGTCTGGTTTGACCCAAAGGAATATTCTTGAAGCTAATAAGAATTTTTAAGACACAGCCCATGAAAAAGTGGCTTGTTGGTACCCAGATCATCTACATGGACTCACCTATACACTGCTAACTGGAAACAATATCACCATAAAAACAATACAATCAGATTATGTTGTAGGAATCAAACCAGTTGTTCTTTGGAGTCCTAATGCGACTGCCCCTTGAAGGAAAATCTCATCAATTTGTAACAAGTAGAATTACAAGAATGGAATGGGACTCAGGTTGCAATATCATAATATGGACTACAAAGCTATTTGCCACTGCAGGGCAGATGACTTTTTTTTTTTAATAATCAGATGTCTATTCTTGCCATTTGCAACGACGTGGATGGAACTGGAGGGTGTTATGCTTAGTGAAATAAGTCAATCAGAGAAAGACATGTATCATATGACCTCACTGATATGAGGAATTCTTAATCTCAGGAACAAACTGAGGGTTGCTGGAGTGGTCAGGGGTGGGAGGGATGGGGTGGCTGGGTGATAGACATTGGGGAGGGTATGTGCTACGGTGAGCTCTGTGAATTTTGTAAGACTGTTGAATCACAGATCTGTACTTCTGAAACAAATAACGCAACATATTTTAAGAAAAAAGAAAAAGAAGAAGATAGCAGGAGAGGAAGAATGAAGGGGAGTAAGTCAGAGGGGGAGACGAACCAGGAGAGATGATGGACTCTGAAAAACACTGAGGTTTCTAGAGGGGAGGAGGGTAGGGGGATGGGTTAGCCTGGTGATGGGTATTAAAGAGGGCACATTCTGCATGGAGCATTGGGTGTTATGAACAAACAATGAATCATGGAACACTACACCAAAACAAATGATGTAATATATGGTGATTAACATAACAATAAAAATTTAAAAAAAGTAATAATCAGATGTCTATGGATTTTTGGTCTTAAGGATGTTAGAAAAAACATATCAAGGTCATCACTTTTAATAAATAGTCTGCTTTCATGCCTACAGAATAAAGTGGTCAAAATTGTTTCCTCTTGCCTATTTGATTCTCAAAAAGCCACTCTGCAATGAGGATTTTTTGCTTGGTTCAAAGATTTAATTTTTTATCTTCATTATCTTTTTTTGGAGCCTTAGCTGTACAGAAAAAAAGTGTGCAAACAGCTGGATTTTTGCTCTTAGAGATATGGCACATGGCCATTTTTCCTAAGTGTTCTTGTCATTTCACCTATAACACTAGTTGTTTTGATGGGGAGTAGAAAAAAAATAGCTTCTTAGACAGACTTCTACTTTTTCAAGTAGCTTATAGAATGATTGAGGCAGTATCCAGAATAATTAAGAAAAATACGCTTCTTACAGCGTTAGCATTTTTTTAAAAATTAGTTTCTCTTTAAATCCAAATATATTACCATGGATATGCGGTGGTGATGGTAGTGATGTGTGTAGATGTATATCTATGTTTCAAAAGTATGTTAGCCCTGCAGGTATTTAAAAAAATCTTCAACATTTTTTATTAAAACAGCTTGTGAAATAATCATTAGCTACACTTATATTTTCAAGTGCTGCTCTTTTTCTCTCTTACATACTTTTTCTCTACCTCAGATTCCCAGCATCTGGATAAAAATCATGCACAGCTCACTTGTAGAAATTTACATGCAAAACGAAGGAACAAAAAGGGAAAAACATTTAGTTTGGGTCTTTGTCAAATTTTCCAGAAACCTAAGTTGACCTCTAAACTGACACTAAAATATGTATTTTGATAGAGGAACATGTTAATTTTTTTGGTTGTTTCAGTGCTTAACAGGCAAGATTGAAGATGATTGGATTACCTACTTAAGCAAATGGTATTTTAGATAAAGAGCCTTCTGGACAAGAAATAAACTCTTAGAATAGATGTTTTGACCAGGATCATACATGTTTTAATGCTGCCACTATTTATTTGTTCTAAAACTGGTCCAGGGTTCAAGAGAGAAACCCCAACTATCACTCCATGAATGGTACATCTTTCAAATACCAATAGCAATTTTCACAGAACCAGAACAAACAATCCTAAAATTTGCATGGAACCGAGGACGCTGAATAGCTCTAAGCAACCTTGAAAAAGAAAAGCAAAGCTGGAGGCATTACAATTCCAGACTTCATGTTATATTACAGAGCTGTAGTAATTAGAAGCAGTATGGTACTGGAACAAAACGGGATACATAGATCAATAGAACAGAATAGAAAACCCAGGAATAAACCCATAATTATATCATCAGTTAATCTTCAACAAAGCAGGAAAGAATATCCAATGGGAAAAAACAGTCTCTTCAACAAATGGTGTTGGAAAAACTGGACAGCAACCTACAGAAGAATGGGAAGGAAAATGGGCTACGTTCTTATATCATACACAAAAACAAATTCAAAGGAAACTGGACTACTTTCTTACATCATACACAAAAACAAATTCAGAATGGATTAAAGACCTAAATATGAGACCTGAAACCATTAAATCCTACAACAGAACACAGACACTAAATTCTTTGACACCAGCCATAGCAACTTTTTCTAGATTTGTCTCCTGAGGCAAGGGAAACAAAAACAAAAATAGGGGCACCTGGGTGGCTCAGTCAGTTAAGCAGTCAGGTCATGATCCCAGGGTCCTGCTTCTCCTTCTCCCTTGGCTGCTCCCGCTTGTACTCTCTCTGTCAAATAAATAAATAAAATCTTTAAAAAATAAATAAATAAATAAACTCTTAGGACTACATCAAAATAAAAAGCTCTGCACAGTGAAGGAAACAATCAACAAACTAAAAGGCAATCTATGGAATAGGAGAAGATATTTGCAAATGACATATCTGATAAAGGGTTAGGATCCAAAATATATAAAGAACTTAGAAAATTCAATACCCAAAAAACAAATATTCCAGTTTAAAAAATGGGCAGAAAAATGAAAGGAAAACTTCATTAGCATTTTAAGAAGGAATCCTAAATGGCATATATTTTATCACCAGACCTAAATGTCTTATTCATTATAGTCTGTGGTCAATCATTGGAGGCAAAGCCTCAGGGTATAGTCCAGATGCAGTCATTAAGTGCTAACTATGAAGGTTGGGAGGAATTCAGCGACTGCACATTTAGGTAACTGCTTTAAAATACATTTGATAGGGGTGCCTGGGTGCCTCATTTGGTTAAGTGATCGACTGTTGATTTTGGCTCGGGTCATGATCTCAGGGTCTTGAGATCAAGCCCCATGTCAGGCTCCGTGCTGAGCCTGCTGAAGTCTGCGTAGGATTCTCTCTCTCCCTCTCCCTCTGCACCTCCCTCCCCACCCCACTCACACGTGCTATCTTAAATAAATAAATAAATAAATAAATAAATAAATAAATAAAATGCATTGGATAGCATAAAGAAAGTGAATGACATACCCATATTTCTTAATTCTCAGCTAAAGGAATAGAGTAGTCCCCTCTTTTCCATGAGGGGTAAGTTCTAAGATTCCCCAGTGGATGCCTAAAAATGTGGATAGTACCAAAGTCAATATATACTGTTTTTTTCCTGTACATATATACTTATGGTAAAGTTTAATTTATAAATCAAGTACAGCAAGAGATTAACAATAACTAACAGTAAAATAGAACAATTATAATGATGTACTATAATGTGGAAGAAGAAATGGGCAGAAGACATGAATAGACATTTCTCCAAAGAAGACATCCAGATAGCCAACAGATCCATGAAAAGATGCTCATCATCACTCACCATCAGGGGAATACAAATCCAAACTACAGTGAGATATCACCTCCCACCAGTCAGGATGGCTAAAATCAACAATACAAGAAACAACAGGTGTTAGCAAGGATGTGGAGAGAAAGGAACCCCTGTGCACTGTTGATGGGAATGCAAACTGGTACAGCCACTGTGCAAAACAGTATGGAGTTTCCTCAGAAAGTTAAAAATTGAACTACCCTATGATCCAGCAATGGCACGACTGGGTATTTCCCCAAAGAATAAAAAAACACTAACTCAAAGGGATACATACACTCCTATGTTTACAGCAGCATTATTTACAATAGCCAAGATATGGAAGCAGCCCAAGTGTCCATCGACAGATGAATGGATAAAGAAGATGTGGCATATATATATATGTATATACATACATATATATGTATATATTGGAACATTAATCAGTCATAAAAATGAATGAAGTCTTGCCATTTTCAAGGACATGGATGGAGCTAGAGATTATAATGCTATGTGAAATAAGTCATTCAGAGAAAGACAAATACCTTATGATTTCACTCATGGAATTTAAGAAAGAAAACAAATGATCAAAGGGAAAAAAGAGAGATAAACCAAGAAACAAATTATAGAAAACAAACTGATGGTCACCAGAGTGGAGGTGGGTAGGGGAGTGGGGGAAAGCGGTGATGGGGATTAAGGAGTGACTTGTTATGATGACCACCAGGTGATGTATGGAATTGTTGAATCACTATATTGTAAACCTGAAGCTAATATAATACTGTATGTGTACTAACTAAAATTAAAATAAAAACAACAAATTCTACAGCTCTGTACAATGAACTTGGAGCATCTACATCCTCATAGACTTGTGGGAAAGTAAAACATGTATAGTTGACTTCTCATATTAATTGAAAAGTGGTTTTCTATCTTAAGACTATAATCTGAATTTTGGAAATATTTATACATATTGTGTAAATCCACATATCTACTCATAATCCCTTAGATAATTGAAGCCATTTTAAATTCTACATATTGTGGGTTTTTTTAACATATTGCTTTTTTACAAAATTCTTAGTACTGCAGTAGACATTCTGAAGGAATGTCACAAAATACCAGCAGCAAAGGAAACTTCAATCAAACTCTGATATCAAGTGGACAAGCCAATGGAGCAGAGGATCTCATTAAGACGGTGAGAGATTTTTCCACTGCATTTTAAAGGATCTAGCAAATCACCTTTTCATTTGGTGAGGATAACATTCTCTACACCTTTCAGCTCATTCTTTCCTAAGGAAATTTGCCAGTTGTTTAATTGTTTGGCTCAGGAATTTGCAAAATAATTGTATTTTTATTAATTAAACACATTTAATATGCATAATAGTCATATATATCATATATATTAATAGATATATTTAATTTGCAGCATTAAGTAGCCTTTAACACTTAGGTCAGATAATATATGCACAAGGCGAGATACATATTATTTGTGAAGGAATGATAAAAGATTGGGATCTGGCCTATATATTTTTAGGTGTTATATTAATAGGGAAGGTTTCCAGCCAAAAGAGAATCACTTCTTTGTTCTTCACTTACCTGATATTTGTGAAACTAACCATAGCCTATTATAAAATGGTATATGGGAGAGACTCAAGGCCCAGACCCCTACCAATGAGCCACATTTTCAACAATAAGACAGATTATTGATTCTAAGAGGTTTAATTGAATTAGCCTTGGATTCTAATTCAAGCTCCAATCACAGCTGACTGACATCACTTTGAACAAGTCACTTAATCACTCTGTATCTCAGTTTTTCATCTGATAATTGAAAATATTAATATTCACCCTGCTAGTATGCTTCTTGTAAGAATCAAGTAGGATGTATGTGAAGTCTCACAGAAAAAATATAAAACACTGTGTAAATGAAAATCATTGATCCTCATGCTTGGCTTCAATTGGGCTAGCATCCTGCCTTGTCTTTTATCCTCCCTTTACCTCTACACTTGACATCAGTAAGTAATCAAGAGGGATAAATAGGTTTTGAAAAAATGTAGTTAAGTTACTTGTATAAATCAGTTGGAAGCAACTATCAAAGTTGCAAACTATCAAACTGGAGACCTACACTCCTGTAGACTTTAAAAGATTATAGCCTCTAAGGGCCAATGATATATTTTAAAACTTATTTAGAAGTTAAATGGGCAAGAGATATTATTCAGAATACATGAAAGGGGTGTAAATTTTTCTCCAAGTTCAAGATTAAGGGCAGAATAAAATTTGGTTGCTAGTTTATGGATTTTTCAATAGTATGTTAAATATTCAGAATAAAAATAATAACTATAGTTATTCTCTTTCCTTGTATTTAGGTAATGAATAAACATTATTATACATTTTCTCATTTGATGTAGTAGTGTTTTAAAGCAATAAAAAACAAGAGATCTGTACTATGTTAAAATATTCCCAGATTAATAAATTCAGACTTGAAATCCCTGAAAGAAAAATACAGGATTTTTTTGTGATTTTAATATGGTATTTAAAAAATTTTGCTGTTACTTTGGTTTTTTTTTTAAAGATTTTATTTATTTGAGAGAGAGAGAGAGAGAGAGAGAGAGAGAGCGAGCACATGAGAGGGGGGAGGGGCAGAGGGAGAAACAGACTCCATGCTGAGCAGGGAGCCTGATGCAGGACTCAATCCTGGGACTCCAGGATCATGACCTGAGCCCAAGGCAGTTGCTTAACTAACTGAGCCACCCAGGTGCCCTTGCTGTTACTTTGTTACAGAGAAGAGCAAAATGAGTAATGATCTTTAAAAGTCATGAAATTGGCCCTTTAAATATCAAATGCTACAATCCTACTAGCAAGTGTGAGGTTTAAATTACTTCTTGTTATAAGGCTGCCCCTTTTTTAAGGACCACGTTAGCTTTTTTTCCCCAGAGTGTCCAGTTGAAAGGAGTTTTATTTTCTTTAGTAAGTGAAGAATCATTTTCTGAAAATGACCTTCCACAAAAGTTAATTCTTAATTGAAAACCATGGTGAAGAAGGCATCTCTCTCCAAGGTGGTAGCTCACAATCTTCTCTCTGTATGACATTTTTGTTACATAGGCCAAAGTTTTTGTAAGTAACTTATCTACAGTATGTGAGAAAGTTTGGACTTTGGGACTCCATCAGACATTCCTGTTAATGCTCATAATTGGAAGATGGCTTCTACCCATTGGAGGAGGGATCACTCGGGACCAACTCTCTCAACTTCTCCTTATGTTTGTGGGGACAGCTGCTGACATACTGGAATTCACAAGTGAGACCCTGGAAGAACAAAATGTGAGGTAAGCAGGCCTACAAGGTCAGGCCTCCCACACTTGTCTATTTGTTCTATTATTTGTATTCTGCACAAATAAGGATTTTCAGTCTATTATATGTCCAATGATAGAATCATAGAATTTCCTAATGTTCAGATACATATTAGATACCAGCCCAGTTTATATGTATATATACCTGAACTTCCTGTTAAAGAAAAAGGGCAAATAATATTTCCTTTGGGTGAGAACAGAAAAGCTCTACACTTCTGCATGACCATGGGTTAGGTGGGGCCACGGTTGTTAAAAAACCTTCAGGAGGTGGAATGATCATCCATAGCTCCTCTCTCATGTTCTCAAGTGTCCTGGAATGTAGCCAATCATAAAATTCTCTTTTAGAGCACAGCATAGCTCTAAGTCCAGGAAAGGACCTAGAAAAGACATAGAGAAATCTCTCCTCTACCTAGTTGGGAATTTATATTCCCTGGTGTGAATGGAGAATGGGGCAGATTAGGTTTATTTTACTAAATTGTATTTTTAGTCAGTTTTGTTCAAAGTGCCTAAAGGCCTTCTGGTATAGATGCCTATAAATTAAAACTTATTGAGTTGGTACTTTTATTTTTGCCACGAGCAAATAAACTCAGAATCCATGATCACATCTGTTTATGGAACCACTTTCTTACCTTTAGGGATTTAAGTCTCAGTGCCTGAATGTACTTTCAGCTTGGGTTGTTTTGTGCTATGCCATAAAAATAAATTGCAATGAAGCTGGCTCCTAATGCTACAGTTTACTTTATGCTGTGTTTCTCAAATAATGAAACATAAAGCCGAACAAAATACACTAACTTACTGAGTAAACTTAGTATCCCAATTATAGCACAAAGTGTATCTGTAACCAGAGGTTACTTTTACATGATCATTTCCTGTTTCATTTATACTAATTTTTCTTATACTTTATTAAGCAGACATAGAATTTTAAAAATAATCCAATTTAAGTTGATCCATTGTCCTCAAAACATTGATGTTAATTTTGTAACTTTAATACCTTATATTTAGTTAGTGCTGTACATTGTAAACAAATTCTCAGATACTTTAAAACACTTGTAATACAATGGGGTTACAAGAAAAACATAAAGAAATCATAACCAAGCACATAAAAACAGTAAATAACTACAGGCACAGTGACAGGGACATAAAAATATAACTATGACTAGCTATACCTATATAGAAATAAACACATACATGCTAAATATCTAGTGAGATGGGAGAGATATGGGGTAGTAAACAGAGTATTCAGGAGGGATATGTTTTGTGGGGCCGGTAATTAAAATGTGAGAAATGCCAATCCGGCTACTTAAATGGTCTGTTTATTAGGTCCATCCACAAATGACACCAATGTGCATTTTATAGATCAGTATTTGCCAATAGATGTTAAATATTCAATGTTAATCATTAAAATCTTAATTTCCCAGAAAAAACATCTTTGAAAATCATGAGGTATTCATTCATTCATCAACTGTAGACTGATTATCTGGTATGTACCAGGCAGTGTGCTGGGTGGGGATTGGGGAGCAAATGGTAAGTGGTGAGAGAAATTCTGGACACACCGACCTCTCCCAACCCAGATGATTTCAATTCAGCAATTTCTTCTGCCACCTACAAATTAATCAAATGTTTCTAAAATCTTTTTTTTTCTCATTTTAAACTTGCATTATATCCTCAGAAGTGGTCAAATAAAGAATGCCATAGTTATTGTTTTAAAATTTCTTTTCAGGCTTCATGGTCTCAGACTGAAGTCATTTTATTTTTAGTATAACTGCATTGTGTCAGTGTGTAGTCTCTACTCCCTCAGGTCTCCATCACTACTCACACTCCAAAGTCAAGGCCCATAAAGAACCTAGAATTTTTTTCTCCCTCTTAAAACCCACCTCCTGACCTGTAATTTTGTCACTGGTCTCATCCATACTGCAAGAATTGACACAGCAAATGTCTGTCTCTTCAAAGGAGAGACAAATTCTCACACTGTGGCAAATCTTTCCTCTTTGGACTCAAAAAAGACAATCATGAAAAATAAATTTAATGTACTCATAAAAGATGTTCACTTGTAATAGCAAAGGAGGTTACTTCATTAGAACCCACTTGGCATTACCTATTTTTACAACATTTTATTTTCTATTTTATTTTATTCCATAATTTAGGCTGACAGATTTAGGAGAAAACCTTCAATAATGCATACACTGCAACGATGTCTACCTCTCTTTCCTGCATCCTTGTTAAATACCTTAAATCCAATTTTTTTAAACTTAAGTCAATTTCTTTCCATATGTCCACTTTAAATTCATTTGACTAATTCTTACGAATTTACATGGACTTGTGAGATGCTGCAAATTTTTCTTAAGAGCTTGACTTTACACACCATAAAATTCAACTATTCTAATTTTTTGGTTCAATGATATTTAGCAAATTTATTGGTGTGCAACCATCATGAGAATCTAGATTCTTTGTGGCTGTTTGGAGTCAATTCTCACTCCTCCCGTGACCAACCCTAAGCAACCCCTGATATGCTTTCTTTCTGTACAGAGTCTCCTTTTCCAGAAATTTCATGTAAATGGGATCATAAAATATATAGCATTTTGTGTGCAGCTTTTTCACTTAGCATGTTTTAGGATTCAGTCACACTGTTGTATGTATTGGTAGTTAGCTCCTTTTTAATTGCTGAATAGTATTCCATGCATATACCACATTTTATTTATTCATTCAGTAGTCGATATACATGTGTATTGCTATCTTCTTGCTATTAAAGAATGATCTTGCTTATGAACATACACTAAAATCCTTTGGAAAGATCAATTTTCATTTTTCTTGGGTCTATACCTAGGATTAGAATGACTGGGTTTATGTTAGTACATGTTTAGCTTTTTAAGAAACTCCCAAACTGTTTGCCAAAGTGGCTGTACCTTTTTATATTCCATTCTTTCACATCCTCACTATTTTTTTTCAATATTTTGATTATGACCATTCTATTGGGTTCTTGTGGTATCATATTGTAGTTTTAATTTCTGTTTTCCTAATGACTAAATGAGCATCTTTCCATGTGCTAATTAGCTAATCCCATATCTTCCTTCAGTGAAGTGTCTGTTCAAATTTTTGCCCACTTTTTTGGTTGGATTGATTTTTTTGTTGTTGAATTGTAAGAGATTGTAAGAGTTCTTTATATTCTGGACACAAGTCCTTCATTAGATACATAAATGTGAATGTGTTTTTTTTTTTTCCCAGTATACAGCTTGCTTTTCATTTTTGTCATTTAAAAAGTCTTTTTAAAATTTTTTAATTTGAATTCAATTTAATTAACATATACTATATTACTAGTTTCAGAGGTAGAATTTAGTGATTCATCAGTTGCATACAACACCCAGTGCTCACTACATCAGGTGCTCCCCTTAATACCCATGACCCAATTACCCCATACCCTCAACCCACCTCCTCTCCAGCAACCTTCAGTTTGTTTCCTATGGTATGGTTTACATCTCTCTGTTTTAAAAAAAGAATAGTTCTTAAAAATTTTTGATAAAGTCCCATGTATCACTTTTTAAAATTTTAACTAGTGCTTTCGAAGTCATATCTAAGAAATATTTTCCTCACCCAAAACTGGAAATATTTCCCTCTATAATGTTCTGACTTGACTTTTGTGTAGCGTGATGTAAGGATCTAAATTTGTGTTTTATCTTATTTTGTTTTGTTTTTGGCATTATCCCAGAACACTTTTTGTCCTAGCTGAGACCAGTTGTCTCTGCAATATTTGTTGAAAAGACTATCCTTTCCCTATTAAATTGCCTTGATATCTTTGTCAAAAATCAATTAGCCACATATGTAAGGGTTTTTCTAAACTTTCTATTGTATTCCATTGCTCTATATATTTATCCTTATGCCAGTACCACACTACTGTTGTAACTGGAATTTTATGGTAAGTTTGAAACTAAATATTGTAAGTCTTCTAACATTGTTCTTTTAATTTTGGGGCAGGGGGCAGCTATTCTAAGTCCTCTGTAATTCCATTTAAGTTTTATGATCAGCTTGTCAAATTCTACAAATAATCCTGCTGGAGTCTTGATAAGGATTGTATTAAATTTAAGCAGCAATTTGTGAAGAAATGGCATCTTAAGTCTTTTAATGTGTGAACATGAATTATCTCACCATTTATTCAGGTGTTCCTTAATTTCTGTCAGCAATGTTTTGTAATTTTCAATATGTGGGTCTTGTGCTGATTTTCCTAAACTTATTCTTAAGTATTTTTCTTTTTGATATAATTATTTTCTTAATTTCTTAATATCATTTTCATGTTTTTTATTGCTACTACACAGAAATGCAATTGATTTTTGTATGATGATCTTGTACCCAGCAATAATGCTAAACTTCTTTATTAGTTTTGTAGATTCCTTAGGATTTTCTACTTATAGGATAATGCCATTTGTAAGTAAAGGTAGCTTTCATTCTTTCTAATGTGTATGACTTTTAATTTCTTTTTCTTACCTTATTACATTGGCTAGGATTCTAGTACAATATTAAATAGAAGTATAAGAGTGGGCATTTCAATCTCAAAGGGTACGCATTCTGTCTTTCACTATTAAGGATGATGTTAGGTATAGGTTTTGCACAGATACACTTTGCACAGATACACAGATCAGTTGGAGGAAATTCCTATTTATTTCTAGGTTATTGAGGGTCTCTTTCTTTCTCTCTCTCTCTTCTCTCTCTTTTCTTTCTTTCTTTCTTTCTTTCTTTCTTTCTTTCTTTCTTTCTTT